GTGAAGTGAAATCACCCACCTTTGCCAATCTTCGTTGCTCCTCCACTTGTTTCTTCTCTATTTTCGCCATGGTACTGGCCATTACCTCTTCCCTTGACACGGCATTCATACAAACAAGACTAACTCGTGGCGTGGGTTGCGCAGCTTTTGGCAGTTCAACAGGCTTGAGGTAATAACCTCGTTCTGTAAAGAAAAGGGAAAATAAAAGACGCGGCAATTCAGGATTTCAAATAACTTCATGTGCTTACCTATGATAGAAAACCTTTCATTGAGAGTAACATGACGATTTGAATAGTTAGCAGCACGTTCAGGTAGTTTCACGAAGTTCTTTTGGATAGCGGCACGGCCTTCGATAGGTTCAATGGTGTAGGAGACAGCGGTCATGATTACAGTTTTTCTTATCTAGAATAGTTTTTAGGAATATGAATAGAGTACCTGGTTAAAGGGTCTAGTGAAGAAATTAGAATCCGTTGAAAAAAGTCCAAATCGAAGATGTTCAGCTTTTGTTGGGAAGTCATAAGAGATTAAAAAAAAGACGGCTTTGATTTTGAAAGGTAATACTTCGAGGTTTGAGTCGTCACAATATTCAAAACGCAAGGGACAATTTGCGACCTCCACAATATTTTCTAAATCTTCTATTAGGAAAATACAAAATCTATTACAAAGATAATAAGCTCTCTCAAATACAGTAAGATCAGGATTCGCAGGTTTAAGAAAGAGAGCCGAAGAGAGCGAGGTTGATGCTGAGTTGTTCAAATTCTTATCGACTTTTTTTGCAGGTTGCATTAATTAAGAAAGTATTTTTATATTTAAATAGGAGTAGTTGGTAATGGTGCTTTTTCACTTTAAAAGCTCGAAGTAAATTAAGGAAGAAATTCTCTTTTATTAGTGCAAAATTTCCTTTATTGTACCGACTAATGCTAGGACAACTAAATTTGCAAAACAGAGTGACTAGCATCGAACAAAACTTAACTTGCTCATCCTTTTATTTTATTTCAGGAGGAATTCCCCCATTATCCGCTCATCTACCGGTCGTCGATTGTGATAATCATTAATTGTGACGTCATTGTCAGTTTTTAGAAATTGCCATTTTCATACGCATATTATGGCGATTATTTCGTCATGTTAGCCTTCTATATTGCTTATGGTAAACTAGTGAATTTAGGAAATGATTTGAATAAATATTTTGTATGGACTTATTAACAAGTGATTTCCCCATAAAACCAGCATTTACGGAGTGTAAAGTGGAAATCTTGGCACGATAAGAGGTACAGTCAAGCAGAAATCAAAAATGTGTTCGTCAACAAAGGAAAACCTCAATGCATCTCCTCATTTCTCATTCAAACTTCGCGGGTCATCT